TCGAACCACGAAGTAGTGAGGGACTACTGCAACTCAGAAAAAGAAAAACCCTGTCAGTTTTACAAATATTGATGTAACATTTTTTTATGTGATTTTGTTGAATGTGATTTTTCAATATAAGATGGTCTTGGTCTAAAACTCTGCCATGATGAAAGGCAGTGGGCGATAGGCATTCCTTCACAACATGTCTGGTTTCTAATTTGAGACTGTTGTTACTGAGGATTGATTGTCACATCTCTACTGAAGCTCACTAAAACTAAATGCTATTGTGGAGATGGAGTCCCAGTTATTATGTGTTGCCATTATTTTTGATCCCCTTCTACATTTACAGAACTGAAATTAGTATTTGCAGATAAACTGCTGCATAGATCAATTAGGTATTTTGTTTGTGTGATATTTTCATGCTGATGTTTTTTTAATTGATCTTTCATGAATGAGGGATTATGCTGAAGAGTTTGAAACATTGCACCTTTCAAAGGTTATACACCGCCATTAATGATGTGTTTGAAGATTTGTCACCTCAGCTCTCAGATTCAACATTTAATCTGCTCTTAAGTGAATTTAAGACTATTTATCTTGTAATTCAGTGTTTTGCTGTGTAGCTTTCAGATCCAGCTTTGACACAGATGTTATTGTGACTCACCTAAACATTAGTTACAGTCCGAGCACCCTCCTTTTCTGCCCACAGCATCAGCGTTCCCTTACAGCAGGAAAGGAAAGCATCTGAAGAAGACAAAAAAATAAAAAAACAAGACAAAGTGCCTAATCCAACCTCCTGCACTTCACATGCCTCATGATTGATGTATTTTGCCTTTTATCCCACTTAGAAACTTATATTTTATGGTTTTATACTTCGTACTTTCACCTGAGTTTGTCATTAACACTCTGACAATAACTCAAGCAAACAGAAAATTGTGTTTTTGCTAAACAAACAAGAAAACGACATGAGATATGCTTCAAAACAGTTCTGAAAATATGGTTGTTAATCACGAACAGAACTGTGTGAAAGTATATTTGTCATTTTTCCCCCCTCAAGCTGTTTGCTGTCATTTCTTTGTTGGTCTTATTTTCACATCACACACCCCCCCCCCCCCACACACACACACACCCACCCCCACTGTCAGACACAACACATCATCATAACTCAGATTCATTTCAGTTTAACCACTGCATCAGTGGCAGCACAGAAAGAGTAATTCAGACCTGGTGCAGATATTTTAGTGAGCCCACCTACAAACCAATTCCACACACTGCTGAGCTTTTTGGTGAGGCTGTCTCGCGTATATCTTACATATCTTACATATCTTACATGTTCTAAAATGAATTTTCATCCTCAAGCCGGCAAAGAAATATCTTAAAAACACACTCAACTGTCTCCACCTGATTGTTAATCTAGACTCCGCAGTGAAGAGGCACAAGTGTTTATATAAGTTATACGTTCAGAAAGCTCAGGGGTGGTTCTGTGAAAATGTTTCATAGAACCACATCTTACCTGCACACATTAGTTTTTAGGAACTTGTATTTAGGTGTAACTTTGTGTTAACTAAAGGAAATCTGCCAGAATCAACACTGTTAATCTTGAATCGCTTTATAATCACAGGGGAAGTGAACGGCTATAAAGTTCATTTTATGTAACCCTTGTTTTTCTTTTTCTATTTTTTTCTTATTCTTCCAGCATATTTTTTTAAAATAACTTAGAAACCATCAAAACAATCCAAGGCTTGGCAGTTTTGTTAAAATGAAAGTAAATGCTTGCTTTAGTTGGAAGGATTGAATTAAAAATGCAGCTTTATTAACACATTTTTAATATGTTGAAAATTGACAGCTGATGTTACCAAGTCCAGACTCTCTACTGACTTTAGCTCTCAACATAAACAGCTACCAGCTTTGCCACTCAATAGTTAAAGTCAAAATCTCAAGTCAAATTCATTCTCCAACCCTGAATGAGTTGAAATAAATAAAATCCAGTCACAGGTCAGAAGTCCAGTGAAAAACTAGCATCTCTTTATGTCAATGGAAATAAGTTTATTGCTAATGACATCCACATTAAAAAATGGTGATTTGTGCATACACAAATTTAGTTTTTTACCTTTTCAGCTTTGCATTCACATGGAAACAACATTTTAGTAACCCCCAAATTGTATGTTCCTGAAAACGGGTTCAAGAGTGAGAAAATCTGAAAACACCGCCTTTGTTTTCGTGTAGACAGCCAAAAGGCAATTTTTTTTTAAAAACTGTGATGCTATAATCCCACCACTTGTCTAATCTATAACTCCAAGCACTATAATAACAATAACAATGGCTCACTAAATGTTTGAGTTTGTGTTGCAGATGACACTCGCTCAGCTAAACATTTCACTAGTGTTGTCTTAACAGGGCAGAGCAAAAACCTCTGATCACATTCAATAATTTAAGATTAAAAAGGTTTTTATTGCTGTATTGAACATTTTTTTTGTCATTGATACTAAAAATCTACAAGGTTTGCAGGTTTCAGGAAGTTCTCTAAGTTGCTAATAGCTACTCTTCCATCACTGCTTTTCTGTTGAAACAGCACCTCCTCCTCCGTATTTTCCAAAGTGAACAGTGTACTTCCATAATGAGTCGTTGTCACAACTGTCACACGGTGTTTTATTTAAACCCTCTATCAAATGAGACATGTTCCCGTTTTACAAGTATTCATTATTTCTTGAGATTTTAATGAAAGGTCATTAGATGGAAGATCCAAAAGGGGAGACGGGTATTCTGTTCTGAACTGGGAGAGCAACTGTGTGAGTGACATGGGATTTTATATATATATATATATATATATATATATATATATATATTTTTTTTTTTTACATTTATATTTATATATATATAAATATAGTAAATACTTAGATCTAACATATACACAAAGAATAAATGAACTTGCATTCCTTTAAATAAAAAAACAAGCATATTTCCTAGAGTTTTAGACAGGGTTTAAATTGTAAATGATAGATGCAGGAATGCAGGTGGGGGTGCAGATGGGGGGTCTGGGGGTCCTCCCCCCGAAAAATTTGAATATAGTAGATGTGATTTCCTGCATTTTGGTGTATTCTAATGGATTGTTAAACATCTACGTTTACCTACATTTGTAAACACTCGCACCTTCCCAGGCATTCACCCCCCCCACCCCCCCTCTCTTTTAGAGGCATAGATTTATTTATTTATTTATTTTAAGGGTAGAGGTGGAAATGCTTCACTTGAAGGGGCAGATGATTGTATGTGATATTAAGAAGTTGTGTTGTGTCGTCTGTTGTGTTTAAAATTAGTGTTTATGTAATTATTTTCAGTTTACATATCCAATATATCGGTAAGTTTTAATCATTTAAAGCAGTCAAATTTGTTCATAACTTTATTATTAGTAAGTCTGAGAGTTGCCAGATGCTGAATATGATGTGAATGACTCTCAGCTACTACCTCGCTGAATTTTAGCTCAATATCTGTAAAATCGACTGAATTATAGCCATTTTTGTGCTGGCTAATGCAGAGTAGTTATGGTGGCCATCTGGGCTTGAATGGACTCTACAAATGAATCAGTCGTGGATGATCATCCACTAATTACTTTGTGCAGGTTTTGTTGAAATTCATTGTTTCATTATATATTTTGGCAGCCGACACTTTTGGTGGTGGATAATGAAAAAAAAAAAAGTTTTTTTTCTTACAAAATTTTCTTTTTTTAAGAACTTCAATCATTCCAATCTCTTTTCTTCTGTTTTCATTCATATTTATCTTGTTGTCATGACCCACTTGTACAACACTCCCTTTTCTTAATTTAGCTGTCACAAAAACATGCAATTTAGTTTTATCACGGCTGCTCTCCTGACAAGGCAACCTGTTCTTACTGTGACTTTTGAAGGATTTCAGTAGAACAAAAAACACTTTCCAGGTGCTGCTTCTCTTGAAGAAGCTGCTTTTCATCTCTTCTTGATTTAATTATCATACTAAATCTGTTTATAGTTCCTGAGACAGCTGAAAGACGCACTGATTAGGAATGAGCTGCCAGGAACTGCAGATGGATAACAAAGTATCTAATCTGTCATAAATAAATACAGAGAACAGAGTTTGACAAAAATCTGAATACAATTTTCTGAGTTGGCTTCAGTTAATAATATGTGTCTAAGAATTAAACTTCATCAGATGTTTGATAGATTTGTTTTTTTAAGGTTTCTTTTCTCCCCAGAAGTTTCTTATTGAAACAGCAGTTTTAAGCAGGAACCACAAATCACTTCTTTGTCCGATTCTTATTCCTTCAACCTTTATTTAGACAGGTTAATCCCATTGAGCCTCGAGGACTCATTTACAAGAGAGACCTTATACTGAACTAATGCTATCAAAACAGTGTGGCAAATTTAAAAATGCATCATTTTGCATCATAAAGTAGTACATCAGGTTGTTTGCTGATTATTGATACCTCGGTTTAGAGGCTGTTTCAGATGAACATAAATGACTTCTTCCACTCCTCTCTCAAAGAGCCCATCTTTTCTGAGAGAATAACAGGTTTAAACATTTCCACTCAAAGGCTCTTAAAGTATAAAAGACCCAACAAGAACTCATCGGTCCACAAAAAGCATGTTCAAGACTCAAAATGAAACCAGTTACCATCTTTCTAAAATCACTTTGTTTTGTCATCACCTGAATCTTCACTGATGTATTAAGCATCCTCTGCATCCTGTTTATTTCACGATTCACTGAGTTCTTTGATGTTTGTCTCAAGCCTATCTTAATAATAGTAGGTAACGATATTTATAACCCAATTCACTTCATATATGTGAATTATTGTTCAACTCATTCTGAAAGTTTAAAAGAAGTCACCCTTTAACACATGTTTCCATGATCAGTTAGGTAAAGTCCCTGCAGAGAAATGATTGGATTGCAGATTGATTGGTGACATTACCAGATAACAAAAGGTTTATGTTAGGTCCATAAGCATGTTCTGTGAGTATTTATTAGTTTCTTTTGTCTTTTTTTCCCATTAGTTCGTTACCTGCTGAGGAACAGTGTAAGTCCAGACCTTTGCAATGAAGACGGTCTCACAGCTCTACATCAGGTGAGATGATCCAACACCCCTTGTTTATGCCTTTTTTTAAATTTAGTCTAACATTCGTCACTAAGAGCATATTGACCTGAACAGAAAACTCATTTCAACATCTTCAGTTGTAATTGACTAAAAGTGGCACAATAAAGTGACTGGTATGTTTTCTGTCTGTGAGCTCATGGAAGTCTGATTATGTTGTAAAAAGTTTGCTCAATGGTGAGAGTTCAAGTTCAAGAATCTTTATTATCCCCGAGAGACAATTTGTTTCACAGTCAAGTAGACACACACAAACGTCCATACTAGACAAGACATTGAGACGTTAAAAAACAGTACAGAAGTCATCATTGTTCAATGAGAAGCCTGATCACTCCAGGGATGAATGAGTTTTTCAGTCTGTTCGTTCTACATCTGGGCAGCGGATACCTGCGTCCAGATGGAAGCAGCCTGAACTCACCATGGAGTGGATGATCAGGATCTGCCACAATCAGCCTGGCCTTGTCCGCTGACCTTGCCTTGTGTAGGTCGGTGAGGTTCTGTAGGGCTATGCCAGCAGTTTTGCTGCACATCTTGACAATCTCCGAGAGTTTGTTCCTGTTCCTGGGAGGATGCTTGTTTGGCACATTGGTGTGGACCTTCTCTCCCCAGAAAATTTCTGTAATTTAAACAAAAATTTCTGCATTTTATAACCATCTGAACTCGAACCTAGTGGAAAATTGGGCAACCTTTGCAAGTTTGGATAAGTTTAATGAACATATTGAAGTAAAATTTAGAAGGCAAATAGAAAATGGCCAAGAACTTGAGGAAACAAATGTATCTTATTGACATTTTCCAACATTATTACAGTACAGAAGCGGCTGTACTGCTATATAATCCTATGTTCAAACAAATATGATTTATTCAAAGAAAATAAGATTACTGCTCACCACAACTTGGATTGGATCTTTAGATCTGGTGAAACTTTAAAATGAAATGTCATTAAAATCAGTTAAATCCAGCTAAATGCAACAGTATGACTGAAAGCCATGGCATATAGCAAATATTGAATGCACCACATTTCTTTAAAGCATAACATTTATAAAATCAACAAAAAATGTGTCTAACTCTGTAAGACATAAAGAATATTTATTCTGAAAGACTGGAGTTTAATGAACAATAACATGTTGGGACAAGAAGAAATAAAAAATGTTTTGTTTTTATCTCACTAGATGGAAGAGAATATAAGCTCAAGAAAAAGAATCCCATTTTATACTAATGTACAGTACAGTACAGATATTTAAGGTGAGAATACTGAAACGTGTTTAATTGTTAAAAGTAGGGGTGCACCAATGGCAGTTTTCTGGCCGATCACCGATCTTTAAAAAGCCTGACCTGCCGGTACCGATTTTGTTTGATAATCAACACTATCAGGTGTTATAAGGTCACAATGCACCTTCAATTTTCCAGTCTTATTTTATTGAAAAACATACCCTTGAACAATATCCTAGAAACAATACAAACTTGTTTTAACTGGCCATGAGGTAGTGCTCTGAAATATAAATGAAGTTTAGACAATTGTTGTTAAAACTACAAAAAATTGGTAAAATCAGTTTCTCATGTAAGTATCGACCGATCTCCCAAAATTAAGGAAATCGGTGCACCCTTAGTTAAAAGCTCCACTCAGTTTTATAATAAGACTGTTTTGTGATTGGCTTATAAACTTTATCTAATCCAAACTTTCTGTCACTTTTATTACTTCCTTTCATGCTCGGGGGTTGCTCTTTCTGGACGATATGTGTTTTTTGCAGAGATGCTTTGAATGTGAACTACTGAGGTGTTTTATTTCAAATATTTCATCTGAACGTAACTCATAGTGTAATCAACAGACTTGTGTTGTAAGGTGTTGGGGTTTCCAACAATGTTCAGTCAGGTCATCTTGACGTTTTTATTTTTTTTATTTTTGTGCTGAGACGTTTCGCCTTCCATCCAGAAGGCTTCCATCAGTCTGAGGAAACACCAAACAAAACTGCTTCTCCCCCAACAGCTTACTCCAAAGTGGAAAAAAACACTTACGTTGGTGCTAAGATGGTCTCTGGGGCACCCCCTCTCCCCCGGTGCCTGCCCTCTCCCTCGTCAACAGTCATGTCAAACTGCTTCAAAACGCCAAAGTCCATGCTCAATAATCCAGGTATTTTCAGTCAGATCATCTGGACGGTTTCTTTTCTTTTTGTTGTGCTGAGACGTTTCGCCCTCCAAACCGTCCAGATGACCTGACTGAAAATTGTTGGATTGTATACCTGGATTATTGATCATGAACTTTGGTGTGTTGGGGTTTCCTGACACCAATTTTCAGTCAGGTCATCTGGACAGTTCCTTTTTTTGTGCTGAAACGTTTCACCTTTCATCCAGAAGGCTTCATCAGTCAAGGAAACACACAGAACAAAACTGATTCTTCCCCCAAACAGCTTACTCCAAAGTGGAACAAACCAGTTATGTTGGTGCTAAGATGGTGTCTTTGGCACGCCCCCTCCTCCTGTGCCGGCCCTCTTCCTCGTTGACAGTCATGTCAAACTGGTTCAAAACCAACAAAAAAGAAACTGTCCAGGTGACCTGACTGAAAATTGTTGGATTGTGTACCTGGATTATTGAGAATGGACTTTGTTGGGTTTCCTGACACTTTAAAATATGCTTTGCAACGATGAGGATGTGAGTCCAGTTTTGTTGAGGGAATTAGTTCATTTTGATTTATGAAGCTGATCAAGAGGATCAGGGCTATTTTCGCTGCTAATTAGAACAAATACGGACATTTGTAATCAGAGATTTCATATCCTCCGAATCATTTGTTTTGGCCAGGAAACAAGCACTTGTTTCGAGATATTACGACCGTCTGGAACAGATATTACTCAGACCCAGCAGCCAGAAATAACTTTTGGTTTTATGGGACAATGTGTCAGCTGTGCGTTTCACCTAAACTGAAATGTCAAATCCTGAAGCGTAAACTCAGACTCTGTTTTTAAGATTTCTGAAGGATATTTGCCCGTTTATGACCTTGGTTACTTTGCTCTCCATCCTTTCCTCCCATTTTGAGTCTCTACCTCTCTGCCCTCCCCTCTTTCTTTCCGTCTTTTCATTCTGCCTCGGCTAACGCAGTCGTATCTCTTCTCCTCTCGGCTGTTCAAAGTCTAATATTCACACTCCAGCTGGGAGGCAGCGAAATGAACAGAGGAAGAGAAAATTGAAGTCCATCAGTCACCAGGCTGGTGTTTTTAAACACAGCCAAGGGATCTGAATGACCTTTCGGCTTTGAATACGTGCAAGTTCTTGATTTTACAGCGTTTGGACAGAACCGTCTGCACAGTGGGCTTCAGGAGATACTCATTTAATGTTGTAATTTGACACTCCAATAAAATTGGTACCAATGTGGGTCATTTAGATTAATTTCCTAAGATTGACCTCAACAGCCATTTTTGACCCTGCAGTCTTCTTGTGCAAACAGTCCCGACAGCATGAGTTATATTTTGATGGCACAAACACAACTCCCAGCAGAAAGGGACAGAAATGAAGGAAAGTGCTGGTGCTGTTTCTGTAAATGAGATGTCACATCTGCCCCGGCCTGCTCTCACCTCTCTGAGATGAGTCATTAATCAACATAGGGCTCTCAGGGTCACTGTATGTGCCGCGACACAGTGAAACAAATGAAAAATCTCACACTTTATATTTTCCCACTCGATGATGTGAGGGATTATTGATGTTAGATTGTGTGAGAGTATGAGTTATTGAAGTCCAGCTGAAATGTAGGAATAATGCTTCTGAAACATTCACAACGCACATTCAGGACAAACCCAAAAAAGGATCAAAAAGTTTATGGAAATGTAAACATTCAAAGACTAATTTATTCAGTTTTTTGTTTTAATGATTCACTCATTTAAAAAAAATAATTGTTCATTTGTTCTCCTTTATTTATGCCCAAATGTGTACAATTGAGTATCTTGGAAATAAACAATGACAAAATCATTTAAAATCTTTAAGGGTTTTTTACCCAAGTAGTCTTTACTGGACTGGAAAAAAATAGGGTTTTGCAGCCACTGCCATGTTGGTTTGTAGGAAATATCTTAGTAAAATAAGACGATACTCGGTGCCAGGTTTTTATATTTTGTCTATGTAGTTTTGCCTTTGTTTCATAATTTTTCATTTTGTGGTTGGTCCTTTTCATAATTTTGGAAAACTTCCACTAGGCCTTGATGTGAAGTTTAGTGAAGAATGGGGTTTTGTTTAGCCAATCACAAAGGTCAGATTAAGAAAGTTTGGTAATAATCTTTTTTCTTCTGAGAAAACTTCTTTCTACAATGGAGCTTTAGGACCATGCTAAGAAAAAAATTACATTACAAGAAAAAAGTCATAAAATTACGAGAATAAAGTCGTAATATTAGGAGAATAAAGTCTTAGTATTACGAGAATAAAGTATTAGTATTATGAGAATAAAGTCTTAGTATTATGAGAATAAAGTCGTAGTATTACAAGAATAAAGTCAAAATATTACGAGAATAAAGTTGTTATATTATGAGAATAAAGTCATAGTATTACTAGATTAATGTTGTAGTGTTACGAGAATAAAGTCATAGTATTACGAGAACAAAGTCGTAATGTTACGAGAAGTCAAAATATTGCAAGAATAAAGTCAAAATATCATGAGAATAAAGTCATAGTATTACGAGAACAAAGTCGTAGTGTTATGAGAATAAAGTCAAAATATTGCAAGAATAAAGTCGAAATATCATGAGAATAAAGTCGTAGTATTACGAGCATAAAGTCGTAGTATTACGAGAATAAAGTTGTAATATTACGAGACTAAACTCCTAATACATCCTGGGTAGGCTCGCACCTGCTGTGGACAGCCTCCAGTGTGAGTCACTGTGTTTATGAAGTAGTCCACGGTCACTTTTGGGTCTGTTTGTGAAATATGCTTCCATCCACATTATGTCATGGCTAAATCCATCAATGCCATATGGTTCCAGTTTATCTTAAGAATCCATATG